TCCACGCCGTCTGGCCCGAGAAGAAGTAAGTCTCTACCAACCTACCAAAGCTCCAGAATTTCACATTAACATTGGCATGATTAGGCTCGCCTATAACCTCTCTCCGTCATTCAACTGGAAAACTGCCATGCCTCGTGACGAGCAGGAAACCTACATCCGTCGCCTGGCCAAGCTTGGCTACTGCTGGCAGTTCATCACGCTTGCAGGCCTGCACACAACAGCCCTGATCAGCGATCAGTTTGCCAAGGCTTATAGCACCGTCGGTATGCGAGCTTACGGCGAGCTCGTTCAAGAGCCTGAAATGGAGCAAAAGGTCGATGTTGTCAAGCACCAGAAGTGGAGTGGCGCAACCTACGTCGATGAATTGCAAAAGATGGTTACAGGTGGCATCAGCTCCACGGCTGCTATGGGCGCCGGTGTGACTGAGGACCAGTTCAAATAAATTGCCGCCGGTGAAGAAGAGGTTGACAACAACTGAGCACATGAATGAATAAAGATCAGCATGGGTTAATGTCGGAGGTTGTTGTCGGGGCGCAAAAAAAAAGAAGAGCGGCAAGTTCTTTGTCTTTGGGGCATTTTGATATCACACTACTATTTTCCGTTTTTTAATCGCCATATTACTTTGCATACGGCAAGCATTTGCCTTGATATATACTACTAGTTATGAAGCAACAAATCATCATGAAAGGAACTTGAGATCGTGATCATGCTCTCCACTGCATTACAAGCAACTATATGTACATCATTACATATATGTGCTTGTGTTTGACTCATCTTTGATACATCCTTCGGTGCAGCATAGACATCCTGCGCCTGACCAACCACCCAGTCGTAACTCTGAGAAAGAAGAAAAAACCATTGAAGGGGAGGGACCTGGTTGGTACAAAATTGCAGCAGCATAATGTGTCAGGTACATAGCCCAAACATCAAAGTTAAAACAGTAAGACGCCCGTTCTCAAATTGGAATGGAAAAGTAGAAACCGAACAATGAGACGGATCCTCTTGGCTGTAGCCCAATGTCCATAGTGTTACATCACCAACATGTCCATTAGATTCGTCTCGCTTGGAACAGAAATGACTGCAAATCTGCTGGCACCCAAGCAGTAGATCACGTGCTATTTCATGAACTAAGTTGAATGTGTGGATTCATATAACCGTCTGGCAGGGTAAGAAGCAGTGCTAGTATGCTTGCAGCTAAACATGTCGTGCCCATTGGTGTCAGTTTGGAATGTCAGTGCTCTTTTCAAACCGACATTTCTCAATCAGCCTCGGCAAGTTGCATGATCAACTTGGCGGCCATGTCCAGGAAGGGAAAGGGACTGGTGACATCTTTTTCCTCGAGCAGTCGGCCATGGGCTGTCTCGTATCCAGAGCACTTGAAGTCGACCAAGTACACGCCATGTTCCATTTCGTAAATTTGTATGTCCATATGTAGCGCAACGAAAGGCTCTTTGGGGTGATGTTGACCTTCTGGTGTGCTCGGCGAGCTGGGAGTGCCCGGAACGCTGGCCGCCTTCTTCTTGATGGCTGGGAAGATGTCAGTTCTGATAATTTAAGTACAACCGATCTGGGAACCAACCTGAAGTATCCCAGCGCACATTGATATGCCAAGGATCTGCGGGAAGATTGTAACGTTTCTTAGGATCGATACTTGAACTTGAGCCCCGGCTATTATCGTGAGAATCCGCAAAGCTACCTTCACCAGAAGCTTCAGCTCGCTCCTCTGCAGTTCTTGTTTCATATTCTTCATCGGGGATGTATGTCGCGCCCAGTTTATGAAGTGCCTTGTGGATGCACAGAAGGGCTTCCCATGGCGAGTTACGCGATCGGATGCCGAACTGCCAACGAACCGGCTTATTCTTTTTAGGGGGGTTAATAGGAGTCATCCCTTGAGGCCTTGTGTTGGCTTCGTCTATACGCAATTGACTTCTCGAATGGGGCCGTAAACGGCGCGCTGTTTCTTCCTTTTCCGCATCTGTCCTGTTGCTGGGAGGTTCGTCGTTGATGAGGACTTTGGGTGGTGAGTTTTCGACGCTACCGGCCTTCTCCCGCTCCATATAGTCCTTGTGGTAAGCTGGTAAACTTGAAGGCAAGATGCCGACCTTGCTCACGTACGGGCGAGGGGTGGTGGTAGCTTGAGAAGTCGTTGAGCGGGCAGAAGACATGCTTAGCATGGGGCTTGATCCCTCAGGCTCTGCTAGAAGGGCTTCAGGATTATCTAAATCAGTTTCAATACGTCGAGAAAGTAGTGATAAAAATAGAGAGGAACTCACGGTTCACTTGCATCATCTTGTTTTCTCTTACGATCATGTAGGCGTCCTTGATTGCCGAAGGTTCGGCAGCCTGCAAGGCCTCCTCCACATCACTCTTACCATAACCCATAGTCTTACTGATCTTTTCAGTGACCTCATTGTGCAATCTCTCTTGAACCTTTTCTGAAGCATTCGGCGCGATGTCGTTCTTCTTAATAGCTTTGTTTGGATCAACACCAGTGTTGAAGAACTCTTCAACGGGAAGTTGAAGATAAGCCGGCAGATCGGTGGTGAACCAGGGATCGGCTCGGATATCCTCAATTGTAGCACGATGCACAGGGTTCACCACCAGCATCTTCTTAATGAGATTTGCAGCGCCAGTAGGCATCCATTGTGGTATGCTGTATGTGCCCTTTGCAATCTTGGCAAACAAACTGGGAATGTGTTCGTCGTCGAAGGGAAGTCGACCAACCAAAAGAACATAAAGAATAACACCGCAGCTCCACACATCGACTTCGGGACCAGCATATAATTTGCCGCCAATGACTTCAGGAGCAGCATAGTTGGGACTGCCACAGCTGGTCTTGAGAAAGTTACCGTCGGTCATAATATTGCTTAGGCCGAAATCGGCGATTTTGACGTTGAGGTTTTCGTCAAGGAGCAAGTTTTCGGGCTTTAAGTCACGGTGAACAATCTTGTGTCGATGACAATACTCGACGGCACAAAGCATTTGTTGAAAGAAACGGCGAGCTTCAGGCTCCTTCATCCGGCCATGTTGAACAATATAGTCGAAGAGCTCGCCTCCAGCATATTCGAGGACCATGATGATTTCATTAGGTGTCTTGATAACGGTGAATCTAGAAGATGGGTGTCAGCCACAACAACACCAATGTATTTAGTCAAGGTTTGGCGCGCAACGTACAGTTTGATGATATGAGGATGGCGTAAGAGTTGTAAGTATTCAATCTCACGCTCAACACGCCCAGCCATATCGCGGCTGATAAGCTTCTTTCTGGCGATGATTTTGAGGGCAACTTGCTGGCCGGTTCCATTGTGAATAGCAAGCTTGACCTTTCCAAAAGAGCCCTCCCCTAGAGTTCGAAGGACCTTGTAGGCGCCGATGCGCTGTTCCGTCTTGATCCTTTCCTTGAGCGGCGCATCGGCGGGGCGGGAGCCGGGTGCAGGAGCATCATTAGAAGCGTGCTGCTGTGACTGTTGTTGCTGCTGTTGAGGGCGACGAACGTGGGAGGAGGATAGGGAAATGGTAAGCTCTTCGTCCTCGAAACCTCGGGGAGCCATGGCGATGCGATGCCCTAACCCAAGGTCAAGGCGGGCCAGGTCGAAAAGTGATCGGTCGGCGGGGTTTTCGGAGCTGCAGAGCTTTTGGTTCGGCTGTCAGGAACTGGGTGCGACGGTCGTACAGGTATTGCAGGGATAGTGGTCTTGACGAAGCGAAGCGCGGGGTGGTTTGATGTAAAAGAGAAGAGCGGGTGGAAATGAAGCGGCGAAATGGAGGAGGTAGGTGACCGGCTAGGTACTAAGGTTATTCTAATCGCGTATCGTAATGTTGTGTTAGGTAGGTACTAGGTAGGTAGGTATGTAGGTATTCGTTAGTGGTGTCGAAGTTGCAGAGCTCGACTGACCTGGGGTAGTCGTCACTGTTGTGGAGGGGTCAGGTCATTGGAACCACATCAGACATGGGCTAATGACTCTTTTATCATCGCTTCATAATGATAGGTAATAATGAATGGTGATTTGGTACGGATACTAGCTAGCATTGTGCACGTTGAATATGTTAATAGTTGGCATGGGAACCTGTAGCAGAATAGATCTTGACTGATCTGAAGTTTATTATATATTCCTGATGGCCGTTCGCTTTACCTATGCATTATCAGAGCACCTAGTCTAAGGTATGGTATCTTTCTCCCCATTTTGTTACTGACCTACAGGGGCCTCAGGGAGCAAGAAAACACCGGACCTTAATATAGGGTGTGAAAATAAACTCAGCAAAGAGCCCCCTAAGCTTAGGATAGATTTACCTAAATATTTTTATTGCTTAGGGTCAAGGGTCTGTGTTTTCTTTCCTCCCCTAGAGGGGGTCAGAAGAATTAGCTTGTCCTGGCTTGCCTGGTTAATCCTTCTATCCTACGGGTTGCCAGTGTTAGAAATGTTAGTACTACTGTAAGTTCTGGATTATTTACATTAATGTCTTTAATAATAGTCTAGGTTATATTTAATACACACGCACATATATCTATTTTAAAATAAGAAACATGAAGCCGTAAATAGAAGTTGCTAAAGGCCCAGTTTTGCGTATTTCCAACCCCGCCGGCCTGGACCAACGCCAACTAACACTTTACAGTTGAAATTCCCAACAACTCAATTCTCGAAACTCTGCCGACAGACTTACGAGTTGTCGAATCGGAACCTGTTTGTATTACCAAAAACATCTGATATCAAGCCACAATATCATGCCTCTTTATTGACCCTTTAGTTACCAGCCAAGAGTCCTCCTTGAAAACCTGCTATGCATTGGTCCGTGTCTGTATTTGCAAGCGTGGTTCTGGTCTCAGAGTACTCCTTAGTTGTATCAACAAATACCAATGCCACACAGTATTGTTACACTCATCTCTACCTACAGCCATGATATATATATCGTTTTCTTCCATTTTTCATAGCCTTGATCATAATTGACTCCCTGAGTCCATTTTTCTTTGCTCAACAAGGCTATGAGCATTCTCCTTTCCACTAACTTGATGAGTTTTGTTTGGCTTCTTCTTGCTTTAGTCTCTCCACCAACTTTGTTTGTAAGAATGGGCTGAGTCCCAGGCTTGAAAAATTGTTAGCGACTTGACGTGACTGTGTTCGTGTCATCTAGACTTACATTCCCTCGTTCGTTAGAATACGGTACGTTCCACTTGGCTGGACTTTGCCGATGATGGTACCATTACCGTCCACCTCAACACTTCCCAGGATATCCTCAGGCCATGCAATGCGTCCAAAGTCGGGGGAATTCCTTCGGTCACTGAGGTGCACATATCCTCCCCTTCCACCACCACCGGCTCCTCCCTGAGCACTGGCGCCTCCTGCACCATCGCCTCCGGCTCCCCCTCCGGCTCCCTGCTTGCGAGAGCCACCTCTATTAGGTCGTTTTTGTGAGAAAAAAGCACCGCCTGAGCCGAGATTGAAGCCTCCCGGACTGGCAAATGCGCGTGCTTGATTGACAAGATCCTCATCTTGGTGACCGTACTCAGTTATCACCTCATTGAGAATCTTGACAAACTCCTTATTCTCAGTGAAGGACTGAGGGGTGGGAGGGAGCTCGCTAGTAGTCCCAATTGCTAAGCGCTCATCCGGCGGTTCTTTCTCGAGATAGCTCAAGTAGTTTGTAAAAGGGGATTTTGGATTCTTTACAACTTTCTACAACATGGTCAGCGTGTTGTTGAAGTGATACTGGCTTGGGTGTTGAATACAAACAATTTTAGTGTTGCTAGAGAGACTGGATATGGCCCTGACAGGTACAGCCATGTGCCGAGCAACATTTCGAAAATTTGATCCTATCATTTTGCTCCTATTTGGATTTCAAATCGTTTCTACTGCTGTGTCCGGTTCAACGAAGCTCTCATTGTGTTGACTCGACCTTGATCATGAATGAGGTCATTCGCAATACCCTACTCCGTAGATACCTAGTAGTCAGTACAACGCGATATATGTCTATGGAGGGTATATGCACCAACCGGGTCAATTTAACGCGTCAACGCGGTCGGCGCGAACCCCTTCAAGACGACATGCGCAACAAGGCACGAGGTAGGCAAACGAACCAGAACACCATACAAGAAACTCAATTAGCAAGCAACGTTGGTTTCATATACAAGAAGTTAGATTCTTCTTCTTTTCCCTTTTCTTTCTTTCTCTGCCATGCCAAGCTAGCGGTACAGATCATGGATAAAACACCAGCTCCTATATTCCGAAAACAACGAGGGGCGGTCCCTCCGTCGTCTGCGATACCATCTTCGTCTCCGGCCTTCGGTACCCCCATCCATCCACTGAAGCCATTTGCTGTCAATGCTCCCAAGGCTGCAATATTACCGATCATACTCCCTCCTCCGACACTTCGACCGCTCGCTTTCCGTACGTTCACGAAAAAACATTCTTTGACCCTAACATCCTCTGCCCTTCAAGGGCTAGCTTCCTTCATTGGAAGGCATTGTGGTTCAGGATGGCGTGAAGAAGGCTTGGCCGAACGGGTTCTTGAAGAGGTTGCAAGAAGCTGGAAAAACCGCAATGGAGGCGTCATTGTTGAGGGCTCGAGTAAAGAGCTCCAGGAAATTCTCAAGACCCTGGAGGGTAACATGAGCGGTGGCAGAATCAGTGGCCCAGCGAGAGGACTACCACGTGGGGATAGTATGCTTGATCTCAAAGATAACGAGAGCTTGAACACACGGTTGGGACTACGGCCGGCAGATATGAGGAGGGAAGATAGCAACACAAGCTTCGGCATGTCGGGACTTGGTGTAGATGAGGAGCAAGAAGAAAGCGAGACGAGCGATCCTCGAGCATGGCTTAAGATCATAGACGCATATGACCAACCCAGATTCATATACAACGTTGGTAAAAAGCACTTTGAAAAGTCAGTATAGTCTATTCCGTGAATCAACTAAATTTGCCACTAATATTTCCTAGGGATACTTCCACGCCTTCCTTACTACCACCGGCATCACACAAAACGACTGTTTTCCGAAATCGCTACAACGTAATCCATCAGCGTCTTCTCCGTAACGAAACCTTCCAGTCCTCCGCAGTCTCCTCCTCTCGAAAACAAAGCCTGAGCCGTTCCCTTTCCAACCAACATTCACTTAAACTCACGCCAATCGCTAACCTCCTTGGTCGCCATGGCAGCAGCCATATGCTACTAGGGCTCCTGGTTGTCCTCCCTACCGGCGATCTTGCTATCAGCGACCTGACTGGTACTATTGTCTTGGACTTATCCCAGGCGGTAGCTATCCCGGATGATTCAGCATGGTTTTGTCCTGGCATGATAGTGCTGGTTGACGGTGTCTATGAAGAAGAAGACGAATCTATAGGCAAGGGCCTGAGCGGCAGTAGCGGCGTTGGAGGTACACTAGGCGGCCGTTTCCAAGGCTTCTTTATAGGTCAGCCTCCATGTGAACGTCGTCAAGCGACCCTGGGCATTAGCGGATCCGATGGCGGCCAGGAGCAGACCATAGGAGGGGGCTTTGGCTGGATCGATTTTCTGGGTGTAGGCAGCGAGCGTGCCGTGGGTACCAAGATGCGCAGGCTGGAAAGGCGCCTTCTACGCAGCAGAGCAGAGGAGGATACTGCACCATCACGTGGGCGCGTCGTTGTTATTGGCGAGCTGAACCTCGATCAACCACGAACTCTCCAAGCATTACGCAAGATCCTCTCAGGATATGCCTCAGAGCCTGAAGGTTCAACGCCTCTCACATTCGTGCTGATGGGTAACTTCACTCAGTATGCTGTTTTGGCACGGGGAGGTAGTGGCGGAAGTATCGAATATAAAGAATACTTTGATGCCCTGGCTTCAATCCTGGGAGACTTTCCAGCCCTTCTCCAGTCATCGACCTTCGTATTTGTTCCCGGAGACAATGACGCCTGGGTTTCGTCCTTTACAGCTGGCGCCTCTGTTCCTTTGCCTCGAAAACAAGTCCCAGACATGTTCACGTCGAGAATACGTCGAGCCTTTGCGGCAGCCAATGCGGAAGCGGGAGGGAAGTCAAATGGTACTGCTGTATGGACCTCGAACCCAAGTCGAATCAGTTTATTCGGCCCCAACCACGAACTTGTCGTCTTCAGAGATGATGTATCTGCTCGTTTGCGTCGAGCCTCTGTCCGTTTAAAACCCAAGGCCAAGGATGCCAGTGGAGAACAGGTACCAGGTTCAAGTGCTGCCCCTCCCGAAGATGTTCAGCCGATGGATATTGATGCTGCTCATCATGATGATCCTACAGCTACCGCTACCGCCTCGCCCGCTACACCTCTAGTTCCCCACGATGTTCATGCCGCTCAGAAACTTGTCAAGACTATTCTTGATCAAGGCTACCTCGCACCATTCCGTCAGGCTATTCGCCCTGTTCACTGGGACTACTCCTCGGCATTGCATCTGTACCCACTACCCACAGCCATGGTTTTGCTCGACACGACAGCCCCGCCGTTTTGCGTCACATACGAGGGGTGTCATGTAATGAACCCAGGCAGTGTGCTCGTGCCAGGACGCAAGGGAATCGCTCGATGGGTCGAGTATGATGTTGGTCGCTTGGGCAGGTTAAGGGAATGTACAGTTTAGATTAGACCTCCAGATCTAGATATTATTTAGTTACTGCTATCTACGACTCATGGCTTTAGGGGATTAAGGGGCATACAAGGTAATGATGCGTGTGATGGGCAACCCATACGAACATAGGTAGCTTCCGATAATCACGAAGAGCAGTAATATTAAACCTCATATCATAAAATGATAGCTTCTATTTACCTACGCAAGAGAAAGAATACACAGGGCACAGAAAACGCACCGACTCACCACGCGATGAACATGGAAGTCTGGTATCATGAATTACTAAGTATACAAAAGAGCATTTACTTCCTCCTCTACTGCAGCAGCAGAGCTTCCTCGTGCAAAACTCCATACAGGGCTTCAATCTCGGCCCTCACCTTGTTTAATTCAGCTGCCACTTGTAGCGTAACGAGTGTGTATGCGTACAGCAAAGCATAATCACTCTCTTGGACAACCAAAGGGGACTCGTCGCCCAAAAGATCCGTACTCATGTGTTCCTTGCGGAATTGGTAGATTTTCCCTAAGAGTCGGTCCTTGTTGTTCTCAACCGTAGGGATGGCATCAGTCAAGGGGTATTCTAGCATAAGGCACGAAGCGATAACTTGAAAGACGTGACATATGCGCTGGCAAAGGAGAGCTCTCTCAGTGCTTGTGTACTCTAACAAGGCCCGCTCGCCTTCTGTCAATTGATTTCGCTTTGATGTGATGAGACGCATCGCATAGAAACCATTAAGCATGTTTTTGGTGGACCGCATAATGCGCCCATAGGCTGCGTCTGGGAATGGACCGCGAAGCTCAAATTCAGACTTTGCAGCCGTTCGCAGGCTCGCAAGTTTGAAGGCTGTCACAGAGTTAGCGTGGAAAAGAAAGGGGTGGTAGTGAGCGCCTACCATATCGTTGAAGAGCCGCCTGTTCGCCCTCGCGCATGTAGTCAAGCGTGTTATTATGTGTGCTGTCCTTAGTGAGCGACACAGTAAGAGGGCCACGCTTCCATATGAGACCCATCTGGAGATACAAGACAGAAAGTCCTTCGCGGAACTTCTTCCGGCCAGAAATCGGCCAGAGGACTCGACAAACAACAATACCCCAAAGGATGCCTAGAGTGACCGCCACAACTCGATGCCAGGCAATGTCCAGAATTAGGGGGTTGGACCCGCCCTCGTCATCGTCGTCGTCGTCGACATCTTGCGAGATACTATAGGCATAAAGGGTGCTCACGTTGTATGCTAACAGAGCAATTCTACCCAGTGGAGCCTTTTTGATGACCAGAATCACCCAGAAGTTGAACAAAGCTACAAGGCCACCCAGAAACACCAGTGCAATGCCATTGCCTTGACTGACAGTCCAGCACACCACGGCAAAGGCTGCACCAATGAGGGTACCCTTGAATCTGGCAGTTCCTGTCGTATTCGCTGAGCCAGTTGTCATGGCTGCCACGATCATGAAGGAAAGGAGACCCCATTCACCTCTCCATGTCTGGTAAATAGGTCTTGTGCTTGGTATGAAAGCAAGCATGGCCCAGAGAAGAGCACCAATGCCAACTTTGATACCAAAAAGGATGTCTTCCCGTACGATGAATCGGGAAATCTTGAGCATTTTCTGAGCAACTTTTCTTTTGACTCTGCTAGATTGTGGGGCAGCGTCCCAGTTGAAGGTGTCTCGTCGTGCGACCATTGTATCTGGAATACCTTTGGGCATTTGAGATTTCCGCAATCTCGGTACTGGTGGCTTCTGTATCAAGCTCTCGCGTTCCGGGTCTTCAATCCGGTCTTTGTCTGAAGGCCCAGCCCGGCTGAAGTACCTCCAAAATTTGAGCCAACTCCATGAACGCGGCGCCGTCTCAGCCGTGTACCTGATGTCCTCTAGTACATCCAAATATGCATCAGTCTCTTCAGCTACAGCCTGTAAACTGAAGGAGAAATGCCCACATGCTGCAGCAACTTCTTCTATATCCGCTTGAATCTTCTCAGATCTAGCACGTCCGATCTGAATGGTAAGGTAAAGCTCTTGTAATGACTCTGATCTTGCATTATTGTAAAGATTTAGAGCATCTCGAAGGCTCTCCCTCAACTGTTCGTTCACCGCGGTATCTTTGTTCGGGTCCTGTCCAAATGCAGGCTCACGCAGGATTTCTGATAGCGTATGAGCCAGCGACTTGATTGACGGGCCGAGCATATTGATGAAGAGGGCAAAGATGTCAGAAGGCTCTTGGAAAGCAGGGGCTGTGTCTAGGGCGGTTTCCGATTTGTTTCTCGCCGCGAGCCGTTCTTCCTCACTCTCTCCAGATTCATCAATGTCAGATAATGTTTGACCTCCACCATCACTATATGCAGAAATGGCTCGGTTCAAGATGGATGTCATCCCTGTGGGCTTTGGTGAAGGGAAGGTATCTTCCAGGTTGGGAACCTCTCTGAGTAAAGTGAATTGGTTTTCGAGTGCGCTTCGCAGTCCTCCTATAGCTTGGGAGAGTGCCTCAACCGATCTTGAAAGATGTTTGTCAAGCGGATAAAAGGTTTCTCGGCCCAGGAAGAAGTACTCAAATTTGGCTTCTCGGAGCGTCGAGTTCATCGTTGCGTATGCGCTGTTGTACCGGGCAGAGACTCGGCCATACTCGCTTGTCCAGAATTCATCTTCCGTTCCGCTGAGAAATCCTTTTGTGATGGACGATAATTTGTCGCCTAGAGAGCTGGTGGCGGTCATGATGGACCTACGAAGCACACGCCTTGCCGAGATTCTCCAGACTAGTACATTGACTGTTAAAGTGCAGGTGATGCCGACAAGAAGCAATTTCAAGACCTGGACGATCTTGTCGTCGTCAAAGTATCCTCCCTGTACGCCCTCCTCTTTGGTGATTACGGAGATGATTGCGATCGATGCCAAGGTTGAGCCGACGTTAACAAGGGGGCTGTTGAGTCTTTGCTTTACCCAGCCCACAAAGCCCAGTCCTCCTCCGATGCAGATAATGAGGATCAACACATGAGCAGCGGCAGTCAAGCCGAGTTGGGATCTCATGGCAATTGCAATTCCCATCGACAGCATCGAGATGACCTCCGCGTAGAACACAGCAACGACTGCTATAACAGTTGCCTCAAGCATAGAGCCAACGGTTCGTGCTGGGTGGAAGTAAACGGTAATGGTAGCAGAGACATGCTTTCCATCTCTGTTGCCAAGAAAGGCTGTCAAGGGCGGGAAAAAGGTACCCATACTACCAAGTACGTAGGCAAGTGTACACTTGAGAACTCCATGGCCTTCTTCGGTGTGTAGCCACAGCCATATCAAGATGAATGCAGTCTTGACGTTATGTGCGACAATGTGGACACGGTCACCAAAGGATTCAGCGGCCTCGAAGGATTGGTATTTCGGCTTCTTGTTGATCTCGTCCGCAACTACTGCGTTGGTAGATGTGCTTAACGAGAATTCTGACCTCGATCGTTCGCCAGTCCTGGGAATGATAAAGGTTCCGTTTTTCAATTTCTGCCCGACGCATCAGATATCTGCCCATTCTCGTTGTCATGCATGCAGGAAATTATAGAGCGAGTGATTTCGTACCGTTCGCTGGGAAGGTCGCTGTTTAGGCGGCCATGCCAGGGTGGATGAACCTGTGGCGGAGCTCATGGTTGGTTGTTTTGATGGTACTCGTGTCTAGAGTAGTGAGACGATTGTGAGGCACGCTTCATTCTCCTAGTCTTAGAGCTCCATAAGAACAGTGGCCGGTGATCTCCAAAGGTCAGTCTTTTGAGAGGAATAGGCTGTCACGGTCGCGACTTTTAATGTTTTCCCTGCGGGATGTATAAAGTAGAGAGGTCAGGGACAGGTGTCGTAGGTGTAAAATCGAATATAATGGAAAGCAATGCAGCTTACGGAACGGAGTATTATAGTCTTGAAAATAAGGATGACGCTGAGCATGCATGCACCCCGGGCAGCTAGTGTGGGGCTTCGATCAGCTATAGAGACGTCCTTCCTCGTATTGGCTGTACCCCAAGCTAAGGTATGTACCTACAAACCTAACTTCCCGGCGGGAATAGTTTAATTAACTACTAAGGTACTATACCAACAGCTTCAGAGAGAAATGAATCGTACATGTTCTCAAACTCTTTGTTCAACCACACTAACAAGGTTTTTATAGTTATATATGACGACAATTTAGGATGACTTAGAGGTACGCTCTCGTGATTTCTCTCCCATGCCAGGCTTTCACATGAACAATAACGTGCGAAGATTGTCTCTTTTATCATTCAAAGGAATAGTCTAGATTTTTCCGTGACTTGCTCAACTAAGGTACCTTAGGGAACTGGGAAACACTCTTAGAGAGATCTCTTAGTCTAAAGCCTAGTGGGGCTATATGCACACTTGCCGGCTGCGCCCGTTGCTTAAACGTTGGCTGCTGGCGGGACAAGCATGAGATCTTGAGGGAGACAACTTAGGGCCAAGCAAGTCCTCACCCAAGCTTGTGGCTAGGCACTATAACTTAGGTAGTCGCAAGATCATCAGGAACGGGAAAATAGTTTCAGAGGCATGACACGCCTATGGCTGTGGCAGAAACTAAGTAGACAAATCCGTAACACCACTGTCACTTGTGTGTTTTTTTGTTTCCTCGTGTGACTCGAAACTCGACCCTTTCACAATGGCCATAGAGTTGGCCCCAATCATTGATCCAATGGAATAAGCACGATCCGCATCCGCTCCTCGCACCGAAAACGTTCAACTCGACTAGTTGCACCGTCTCGTCTGTCTCGTCGTAAAACACATCGAACGACAGCCCTTGGTTTAGAAGCAGCTGATCCTGCTCGTCATCCGGATCTAGATCATGCAGTATTGATTTGTGAATCGTTTGGATTCCCTCCCAGATTTGATCCACTACTCTTGTCTGATTTTCGTGCTCTTCACAGTCAAAGAACCATGGCTTGTGCCAGCAGTATTGACTTACTGCGGAGATGGCTCCGGTCTCAGGTGCACAGTAGACTCGGTATTCCCTTTCGCTCCCCATACGTTTATTGAATGGAAGAAAAGTCAAGTCGACAGTCGGACTCCCCCCTTCAAGACTCTTTGATATTTCATTACGCGCTCGCTGTGACGTGATCAAGCGAAGAATTATATCCGTTGGGGAGTGGAGAGACAGCCTACCCGGTACGGCTTGGCGACCATCTTTAGGTGAACAACGATCCAAACGCATAAAGAGACCTTCGGTGGGGAAGTCGAGAGACGATAGATGCGGAATGATTTCTTCCTGGATGTCTTCTTGATACGCTCGGTTGTGTTCACCAGTGATGATCGAGGTACGCGATGCTGCTACAAGAAGCCTGGCCTCTCCTCGTGTAAGTTTGACAACTTGTGCAGCTTTAGCATCGAGGTTTCGTGTTTTTAGAATCAGGGGTAGCCATCGCTTGAACGAATAAGGTGCTTCTGACGGCCGCGAAAGATGATTCGTGCTCTCATGTGCTAGAATTTCTTCGACGGTATGAAAGCAGGTGTTGAACTGGGTAGGCGGTACATTCTGACAGTTTGATTCGACGTCTTCGTAGTTGGTTTGTGTGAGATGCATGTTTCCCGTTGTATTTCCACCCATAGTCGATTGATCGCAAAGAGAGTGATCCTGCACCGAAGAGTTTTTTGATCTCCTTCTCTTTTTAATTTTGATTTGAATTAAAATAAGGTAGGTTCACTTGCAAGGTGAATTATTGACTCTGGTGTTATCCACCATAAAACGACGGGACGCCACTTCGACAAGCCTACAGAACAAACCTACCTACCTGTAGCCTAGAGGAGGAAAGAATACTTGGGACCTTGATACTAAATGATAAAAAGACTTAGGTAATTCAGGATAAAATTAGGGTGATTTTACTAGATTCAGGATATCTTTTACTAAGTTTATTTTTAATACCTTATATCCAGGTATAAATTCTCTTGCCCCCTAAGGCTAGCGTTATAGCAGACTTTACCATATCTCTAAAACTAAGGGTCAGGTTTCCAACGTGCATTTAAGAAGGCTTGACTATTAATATTATTATACTTGATTTCTTCTTTTGAAGCCCACCATAAAGAACATGGACCTTCCTGAGCTTGACTTACATGGAGCACCGATCCGCACTCCGGATTGTTGTCTAAGCCTTTCCCACAAATTATTCCAGAACCTAGTCAACGCAATCCCCAACACCACGCCTTCGTTGGACCATGCCAAAAGTCCGGAATCCCCTCTCCAAGGCAAGGTGTTCTTGGTATATGACTGACTAATAGATTCTAGGAGAAACGCCAACTGTGCTTTCGATCGGAAGCGGATCTGGGCTACTGGAAGCTCTCTTGCTTGCATATTTAAACACACAACGCCAATGCAGTGGCTTTGATCATGGTATAGTTAATATTGAAGGAGTTGAAGTTCAGCAACCTGGTATGAGAGACCATGTCAACAGCTATCTTCCAGAACAAGCCATACACACTGTTCGTGGTAGTTGGGATGTCACTTCGAGGCTGCAGGATTCCGATGTGACAGCTCTGATGTTCATCTATCCACGCCAACCTGCTCTGATCTCGCAATATATAAAAGCTATCGCTGAGCAGGATCTAAAAGTCGAAGTCATTGTGTGGCTTGGGCCTATGGCTGACTGGGGGGTATTTGAGCATTGTTTCAACACCGGACATGAAAGCTGCCAATTTGTGGTTGTTGGGACGAAACATGGTCGCGAAGTTGGACTTGATGAATATGAATCTATGGCAGTGGCGAGGAGAACAGACTGAAGTTCTGTGAAAGATGTGAAAGACGCTTATAAAGCCGGGTGATGAAAGATACCTTACCGTACCTAGGTAGCAGAGGGTTTTGGCAAAATCTGAGGATGATAGCAAGTACTCGTCACCGTAGACGGACGCAAGAGAGTGGAAGAGGCCATATGATAAACTTTAGAGATCTTTGAGTATTCTTTATCGATATATTGGAAATATCCCATATCTCGATATGAAGACGTACAATGGCTTCGTTAATTTCCTGCCTCAGTACCCAAGTTCGTATTGTTAAGCGGATTGTTGCCCAAACGGTGCCATGGCATCTGATGCCAATGAAGCATTAGAGAGGTACCTTATGCTTGTTCAAATGTGAGTGGTATTTCTACCTATATATTGGGCTGCAATATACTGTGGTTAATAACCAACTACAGGTACATGCATTCAAGACCTTTGGTAGGTGTAGTCGCTGGAACGGGTAGGTAACCTAAGAGACTCTTAGCCCCGAATTATCTCTGTCCCCACCTCAATAAGAGCGTCATCTCTGAGTCAAAGCACTCATTACCACTGCCAACTACACTGCTCTCATTTTTATCATCAATGAGAGAAAAGACCAAGGAGGGATACTCCAGTAACTCCATATAATTGCATACTCGCGAGAACGCTCGACCTCCATATCAACCTTCCTCTACTGTCGTTTGACGTGCCTCAGGCTCAGTTCTATGCTACGCCGTCTGGTCTCGATCATGAATTCATCACATCCGAAACGATTCATACCACTGAAGAAGGGCGAGCATAGCTTTCCTGCCGACACCCCCAGGCTTCGAGGAGTGGTCTTTGACATGGATGGCACCCTTTGGTAAGATCTGCACTTACAGTCTCATTCTGCTCCTATTTTATGGCTCGGAAGTTTCCCGCCCGTGACCTCGACTCACATATCTTGTACAAACGAATACTTGATGATATTCTTTGTTCCGCTATCCGATGTCGTTAAACAAATAGAAAATGGTTCATCTTTGCACTTATACTATCCTCAACATACCAAGAGGAGTTGGCACAACGAATGCATCGCTAACCCAGTAAATAGCGAGCCTCAAACATACATGTTCAAGGAAATGAGAGATGTTTTAGGAATTACAAAAACAACAGACATACTCGAGCACATCGATACTCTCCCGAAATTAGAACAAGGAACTGCGCTCGAGTCTATACGCAATATTGAGCGTGAAGCCATGAAGGCCCAGACCCCTCAACCAGGTCTGATGACTCTGATGGCGTACCTCGACGCCAATGCCATCCCCAAGGCGATATGCACCCGCAACTTTGATGTCCCTGTCCAGAACCTCATGGAGAAGTTTCTTGAAGGCTCTCGTTTTCATCCCATCGTGACGCGAGACTTCCGCCCACCCAAGCCTGATCCTGCTGGTATCCTGCACATCGCTAAGAACTGGGGCTTACACGGCGAATCTGGCGAGGCTGACGCCAGTGGTCTTATCATGGTGGGGGACTCTATCGACGACATGACTGCAGGTAGAAAGGCTGGCGCGGCTACCGTATTGCTCGTGAATGATGTAAATCGAGAATTGGCTGAACATGCCCATACTGATCTGGTCATTACTGCGCTGGATGAGCTAGTTGATATCCTTGAACAAGGCTTCGTGGGAAGAGACGCCGGCCCGGAATAGCAAGAAGAACGCGAGCCCTTGTCAGTTCACAAATGTTAACCACAATTTGTCACACCCCTTAACGCCAGGGTTTGATCTCACGGTGCCAAATCAACCGCGAATTGATTTAATTTAGGTTTCCTACATGAGCTCGATTTCTGTACATGACTCTCCTCGACAATAGACACAGCAGATAGACTCGGGAATTGAGATCAACAGATCCTCACCTCAAATCTAAACCAGGTCTTTGGGTTTTGAAGAAGGTATATGAAGTGATTTAAGTGTAGTGATCTAGCCAGAGACCACCGCAGGTTCAAAACAGTGCGCCGAGATATGCTAAATGATCTTCAGGGTGAGGCCGCTGTCCCAATATTTTCGGCAAGGTTGTTCCGGACGATGCAGCCTCAGGGAAACAATTCGGGAAATGTGGCCTTAAGATACATTGTATCCAGGATTAGGTGGCAATCCAAACGTTGCCTGTCTCCGGTTCTCCCTTCGTAGCTCATCGGGAGTCTCCTTTCGAGGTGGGGGAGGGGGAAGAGGTCCGCCTGGCGGTGCTGGTCGAACGGGTAAGCTGAAGGTAGCAGCGTTCGCGCTCACAGGACCAGCACTGTCAGGATAGCCTGAAACCTTGGGAATAGAATTTGTGGTGACAACCCTGGGCCCAAGTCCGGGGTGCGCCGAAGCTGGTGTGCGTGAAGAAGGGTATCCGTTGCGAGGCGGTGATCGGCTCTGGCCAGAGCCGTACTGATCGCGAGGGGAGATAATACCAGCGCCACCGATTGGGATCTCGCCAGAAGTGGGAGTGTGAGACCGTTCTTCGGGTTGGGCAGATGCCTGTGTCTGCTGTGACTGGGTGGGTGAGTCACTTGAGCGCAGAAGATCCTGGGTTGCAGGCGAGAGCTGAGGCGCCAGGTGGGATTTTCTATTGTCACGCTCCATCATACCGACAGCCCACTCTCTAAGATCAACTGGTGTACGCTTGGCGGCTTGTACAAAGTGGTCACGGTCCTGACAACATTAGCACATGTCAAAACAAACAATAGTGGGAATCTGTCTTACGAAAAGCTCCTGGGGAGTTGGTCGACGTTCAGGCTCCTTGTAAAGACACTTCTGAATCATATCATCCAGAATGCTAGGGAAAGCATCACTCTTTGGAAGCTTGGGAGCCGGTTCGTGAACAATCTGTTGAAGCAAATCCAGAATACCCGCGGGAGCGCAATCGCCATCTGAGAGTTGCTCACTAGCAGCAAAAGGAAATTTGCCAATAGCAAGTTCCATGATGCTCAGACCAAAACTCCAGACGTCTGACTTGACCGTGTACTTTTCACCCTGAATTCTTTCGGGTGCCATGTAAGTGGAAGTACCGACAAAGGTGTCAGCGATAGAATTGACAAGCTCGCCAGAAACACCAAAATCGCAAAGCTTGATCGAACCCCTCGAGTTGACGAGGATATTGGATGGCTTAATATCACGATGCATGATGTGGTGCTTTGTGTACAGGTATGTCAGACCACCAAGAGTCGCTTCTGCAATTTTACCCAGAACATCGACTCGAACGGGGCCAAAAACTCTCGAGACTCGATCAAGGGAACTGGTCTAGTGTCAGCTATCATATCGCCATGGATGTACCATATCGAACTGACCCAACATCCATATATTCCATACACATTATAACATCGTTATTTGGAGTTAAGAAAGCACCGTAGAAGGTCACGATGTAGTCAGAGTGGCAGCCGTGCATAATCTGGAGTTCTCGGACAATTCGCTTCCGTATTTCTCGCTTGGCCTCCACATGAATAACCTGCCGAATATGTTAATAGAAAACCCCTTAATTCCGTGACACATAATACAGACCTTGCGAGCCATGACAGTACCTGTTGTTAGGTGCTTCACTTTGCTGACCGTACCGCCGTTACCAGATCCCAACTCCTTGAGAATTTCGAGATCCTCGGGTCTTAGGTCCAACTTGTATTCGATACCGATCTCCAACTGTTCATCCTTGCCTGCATCTTGGCTTCCGCTGTATTCATGATGGTTGGTTTCGGCGGTTGGTGGGGGTCGAGGGGCAGCCGCTTTGAGTGCAAGTCCTTTGACGTTCTTGCGCTTCATAGAGCGTGGAGCAAATGGGTCGGCCATTCTGGAGAGTAGAGCGCGAAATTCAGCTCGGTTGATGAAAGAGGCTCCGAAA